ATGAATAAATTGTAACAAATTTGAAGCAAAGGAATTGCCCATATTTACAACATCTTTCCTTAGTGCGGTATTTTTGAAACGTCTCATAAAATTCTGTGCAAGGTGTCTAATGCAGTAGACATGCATTGAATTATTTTCTGTCCATCCGCTTCCATTTCTCATGTATGAACTTCTAATGGATTCATGTCGGTCTGATATGAGGCATTATCCTTGATGGGGTGTGACATATCTTTAGAGGTTTTTTAAGAAAAAAAACCAGACATCACTTGTTTCACCTTCGACCACTGCAAACGCAATGGGGAGGATGTTGTTGCGGCCATCTTGTGCTACTGCAACCAACAAGGTACCTTTATACTTTCTGTATAAAAAAGTTCCGTCCACTTGAACAATGGGCTTGCAGTGAACAAATCCATTTATACATGGCCTAAACGTCCAAAACACACGCTTAAAAATATTTGAATTTTATTGAAGGACCTCACCTTGGTAAGTTGGTTGTGACTGCAGTTTGTAGATGAATTCAGAACAAATTGTTGCATGGCTTGTAAGAAACAAGACAACTTCTTATACGAATCTTCCCAATTGTCGTAGATGATCTCCACTGCCTTTTGTTTGGCCAGCCAGACCTTCATGTACATTATAGTGTAACTCGTTATTAATTAGATGTGGGCTATGATTGTGGAGATTGATGTTGACAAATCAACATCAATTATTTGACCAATTTTTTGGGAAATCATTTTATATCCCAACTTGTTGTGGTCTTGGCTGATTAATGGTAAAATGCATGTATGGTGCCCTTCAAGCTTTATAATCTCCCAATATTGCTCTCTTGTGCGCAATATTTCTTAACATCTCCAATTGCATTGGTTATCAACACATTCAACAACATATCTACTTTGGTTTGAAATTTTCACCTTGTATGTGCAGTGATTGACAATGTGAAAGCGGTTGATGACATCTTGAACTTGTTCTTTTGTTATGAAACGTTATCCAAGAAATAGAGTTCTTGCCGGATAAACAAAAAACTCTGGGTCTTGTTGTTGAATGTGACTTTCAAAGTTAAGAAAATGTTGTGGTGGGTTATATGGTTCCATGAAGTTTGGTGCATGTATAGGGATATATGGTTGTTCGTCCTTTAAATAATCTTGTTGTTGGCTGAAAATTTCATATTCGTCTTCGTCCTCACTAAAAGGATCAACGACTTCAATTGGGAGACCAATAAATTTCGTTCTCTTGTGTGGGTAGTTCTTCGTTGATGTTGGTGAAAGGCCTAGTTAGAAGTTGGGTAAAAGGGATGTAGTCATTATGTGTGGATATTTCCGGGTCAGTGTTTGGGAAAACTTGATAGGATGAGGGTGAGATTTCAGGTGAGTGTGGGTTGGGGTATGAAGAAAAAGAAGTTTCAAATGTAACAAAAATTTCAATACCACATAGACTTGAGTTTGAGTCATGAACATCGAACATGGCCTCCACGTCATCATCATCTTTCAACTCAACAACAATGAAGTTGTTGATCCCAACTCCAAGTCTAGTTGGACAACGAAAATGGATGGTTGCTACATTTTCGTGGGATTCTTTCTCCAATTTCCTGTGGATCAACTTTTTCAATCTTTGTAGAAAAATTCCTCTCTTCAAAGGAACAAGTTTTGCAATCTCATGGTAGCTCCTTCCATGGGACATGGGTTCATGGAACCATCATAATGGACAATAGTAGACACTACATCCATTTTAGGAGTGTGGAACAAAGAGAAGACTAAAGGTAAGAAGAATAAAGAATGTGAAGAGCTTCAGAGATTTAGGAATGTGCAATGTGAGAACTTCAAATAATGAAAGTGCTCTATTTATAATGAAGTCCAATGGTTTGAATCCAAGACTCCCTCACATGGCTTCTGACGCACACAAAACCCAAGTAAAGTAGGTGGGTCGATATCTCTTTAAATGTGTTTGGATTCTTCTGCTTTTGCCTAACACAATGCAAGGAATCCAAGATTGAAATCCTGACTTGGGTGAGTGACTCAGCATTAGATTCCTGACTTGTGTGCGTTAAAAATTATATTGGGAGGGGTTGTTTTGGAAAATTAAAAAAATATATTAATTATGTAAAAAAGTCGTAAAATAATCGATCATAATTTAAAATAATCGATTATTTTAAATTATAATCGATTAGTTTAGCTTATATCGATTATAAATAGTTGCAGGTCTCCTCGCTCAAGCGATGAATTTCTTACTTGAGCAAGAATTGACCCTAGACTAAAGGTCTAACGCAATTAGTCACATAATGTAACTTGGGTCACTACATATTTCAATTCATTCTCGCTCGAACGAGAATTCCATCGCTTGAACGAAATAGAACTTGACAATATTCATTAGTTGCAGGTCTTCTCGCTCAAGCGATGAGTTTCTTGCTTGAGCGAGAGTTGATCTTACGCAAAATAATCGATTATTTTAAAACGTAAATTGTAAATGGTGCTAGATAAGTAAATAATATTACAGAGATACTATTTTGGAAAATATTTTTTAAAATGATATTATTTATAAAAAAAAAGTCAGTTGAAATAACGTAGAAAATATCTATGGACCAAAAACGTCATGTTAAAGAACACGTGCACAATGATAACATGTATCACATACTAGTATAAATATTACACATAGTATAAAATTACATTTTTTTCTATTTGGTTTTTTAATATTGGAAACATGAAAAATTAAAAGAGAAGAAGTAAAAAAAATAAAGTAAGTAAATTAATATTTTTTATTTATTAATAATTATTTAATTATTTAATATTTTATGTTGTTCTATTTTAATATTTAAATGTGAATAAAAATTAAGATTGAATTTGAGATGCTAAAAAAATTATGAATTAATTTTTTAAGACATAAAAATATATTTGATAAAATAAACTCTAATTTATTAAATTTAAGTTTAACGAATAATATTTAAAATATTATTAAACAATTTATCATACCAATTATTAATCAACTTATTTAATAATTTTCTTTCAAAATTATAAGGATAGAACAGAAAAAAAATTAATATATGATTTAAAAAAAATGTCTATAAATTTATAAGTATTTTATATTAATATATATATATATATATATATATATATATATATATATATATATATATATATTAACTAATTTGACCTGATTTAAAATTTTTTAGTATGTCCATTGATGAGTGCGTCATGTGTTACATTGTTATCAAATGTTGCGCGCAAAACAGCAATTTTGTTTTTGCAAGTTTTCACCCACCAACTTATATTAATGTCTTATTTATCAAATGGTAATTTTCTTTAAAATAGATAATTTTTTTACCTATTTTAAATATAGATAAATCTTAAAATATGATTTCATGATGAAAAAATCATGTTCTAATATATGATTTTGCTTTTTTTTTTTAATAAAGAAGTTGTATATAGATATATACCTTCTGCACACAAATATTTTTTTTTAATATTTTTATATTGGATTGTTGACTTTAATTCATGTTTTTTTTAGGTTTTTTTAATTATTTAAAAATTTATTTTAATATTTATAATTAATAAAATAAATAATTATTAAATACTTAGACATTAATAATATTAAATAATTTTAAATAGATTAAATTATTAAAAAAATATTAAAATATTATAGAATGACTTAAAAAAATAATAGGAGGTTTAAAAAAACAACAATAGCGACTAAAATAAAAAATTTAATAATTAAAATTTAAAAACAAACTTAAAAAACATGAATTAAAGTAGTGAATTAATAGATAATTTTAAAATATATTATTCAACTTCAACCTAATAAAAAATCATTTATAAAAAAATTCTAACTAAATTCGTAGATCAATGGTTCTAATAAATAATAATATTCATTCGTTAAAGTCATATATATGCTAACTTCTTTATTTAAAAAAAATCGTGTTTTAGAATTTGATTTTTCCATGATGAATTCAAATTTCAAAACACATTTGATTTTTTTTAATTTATCCATTTTAAGAAAATTAAAAAGAAAATTACGTCAGTTTGATAAGCCTATACTAATTTGGCTTTTAATTTATCCATTTTAAGAAAATTAAAAAGAAAATCGTTATTATTTTCCAACTTTATAATCCCGATTGAAATATATATATATATATATATATATATATATATATATATATATATATATATATATATATATATATATATATATATATTATAACTACATGATTAATTTTTTTTTTTAATTTAACGAACTTCGCATCTTCCTTGAAGATAAGTGGTCGAATAATATGGATATCAATATTGTCACACAAGATTTGTACTACTTTACGCTTCAAACACTTACATATTCGAATTTAGTCTCTTTTACGCCTTTAAGACAAAGTAGTTCATGCTACTTTTATACTACATTTTTATTATAACAAACCCTTGATTTTTAATATTTTCAAATAAAATCGATAACCTCCATATCTTTCCTTAAATCTTCACCATTCAAAATTTAGATTAGATACTTCTAAATCCTAAATCATAAATTTACCCTAAACTATAATACTTAAACCTAAATGATAAAAACCCTAACAAAACTTACCGAAATCAAAAGCTCTATTTCAAGTTTTTAAAAAACAAAGATGCATTGGCCAAGCAACAAGGATCAATCTACATTAAACTAATAAACATTTTAAAATATCTGTTCACTTATTTTGTGTTTGCATGCATTCAACATGCGACTTCAGTGGTGAAAAATTTGACATTCTAGATGAGCATAGTTTCAAATTATGCAGAGTAGCAATGGGAGATATTTATAAACTATAGGAGTAATTCTTATGTACAAAATTTCTTGGTACACGCAGAATCAGAAAAAAGCATTCCAATTACTAGACAGTTGACATGAATGCAAAGCTATTTTACATTTGATAGAGTAGAGTAAGAGATTCGCCTTGTTGGTTCACTTCCAAGAAACAGCAGATGAAGTTATTGGTACAGTATCCTCTGTGTTAATTTATTTGGAAAGAAGTGAAACATGGGAATGATCTAGAGATTAATGAGGTTGTGAGAGTGAGTGTTGGTGGTGGAGTGAGGAGGATTGGAGAGCATATGAACTACTTCTCTCATGGTGGGCCTAGCAGGGCCCATTTCCTTCACACACATCATAGCAATGTTGAACATGTAAATGACACTTGTCAGTGGATACTCACTAAGCCTTGGGTCCACCACTGCCAACACCAAGGCTGCATCTGACGGCTGAGAGAGCTCCAATCTGGTTTTGTTCACCCATCCAACGATGTCCACCCCATCTCCAAACTCCCCCACTGGCTTCCTCCCTATTATCAGCTCCAACAGCACCACCCCGAAGCTGTACACGTCGCTTTTCTCGTCCACTTTCAATGTGTATGCATACTCTGCACAACCATTCAACAACTCCATCACTTTTGTCATTAATCTATATGAAAAATCTCCTTAATCAAGTAACACAAATGTATATCCTTAAAGAATATACAGTTGTCTATGAAAGCTCGTTAATGAAGGAAAAGGAAGGTTTAATGGAACCTGGAGCAATGTAGCCGTAGGAGCCGGCGATGGAGGACATGGACTGAGAGGCACCTGGGTCGTAGAGGAACTTGGCAAGTCCAAAATCTGCGACATGGGCTTCGAAGTTAGCATCGAGCAATATATTGTTGGATTTGACGTCCCTGTGAATGATGAGAGGGGAACAATCATGGTGCAAATAACAGAGTCCCCTAGCAGCTTCCACTGCAATCTTGAACCTCATCTCCCACTTCAAGTGCCCTCCTTTCGCCCCATGCAGCCACTCCCCTAAACTCCCATTTGGCATGTACTCGTAAAGAAGCAGATTCGTCTCCTTGTTCGACACGTAACCCAGAAGCCTCATTATGTTTCTGTGTCTTATCTTCCCCAGGGTCTCTATCTCCGCCCTGAACCCGTAATCGTTCCTCCCACTCCCCGCCCCGACCAACCGCTTTATCGCCACGTCGGTTCCGTTCGGCATGGACCCGCGGTACACGATCCCCGCACCGCCTTTCCCTATTATGTTCTCCTCCTTCAGACACTCTACCACCTCCTCCGCTTTCAAGTCCAGGCGCTGGAACGCCGTTAGCTTCCACGTCATCGCCCTGTGCAGCTTGCTCCTCCGCATCATGTACACCGTCACCGCCACCAGAAGCGCCGCTGTGCCCAGTGCAATCACGATTATTATCACCCTCGTCGATTTCGAACTCCAAGGGCTGGGCGTCTTCTGGGAGGCGTCGTCGGGGTACATGGAGGAGTTAGGGCAAGAGCGGGAGGAACAGAGATTGGGGTTCCCTGCAAAGGACTTCTCGTTGAAGACCAAAAACTGACCCCCGGTTGGGACCTTGCCGTTGAAATTGTTGTAGGAGAGATCCAGCGTGGTGAGGCTAGCCATGAAGCGAATCTCGTCGGGGATTGGTCCTGTTATGAGGTTTCTGGAAACATTCAAAATGCTCAAGTCCGTGAGGTTTTCTATGCCCTTGGGAATCTCCCCGACGAGCATGTTCCGGCTGAGGTCAACGGCGGAGAGTGAAACGCAGTGAATCAACGTCGTCGGGATTGGTCCCGTGAGATTGTTGCCGCTTATGTTGACGGTGGTTAGCATTGGTAAGTCAAAAACCTCCCCCGGGATTTCTCCAACGAACTCGTTCGCGTCCAGTGAGAGTGTCTGCAGCGCCCTGAAGTTCTTCAACGCCGGGGGAATTCTCCCAGTGAGTAAGTTCTTCGAAAGCGTGAGAATCCCGAGAGAGTCGCCGGAAATCTCGGAAGGCAGTTCGCCGTTAAAACAGTTGTTCGAGAGCTCGATTATGGTGAGGGAAGGTAGTTTGAAAATCCCCGACGGAATGGTGCCGTTAAGGAAGTTATTGGAGGCGCGGATCTTGACGAGAGACTTGCAGTTTCCAATATTGTCAGGGATTGGACCGTAGAAGAAGTTATCGGTGATGACGAAGGTTTTTAAGCTCTCACTCTTGCACAAACCAGGAGGGATCAACCCGGTGAAGTGATTGCTCGTTACGTCGAAGTACTTTAACCTCCCGTTTTGGCCCAAGTTCTCAGGCAGCACGAAGGAGAAGTTGTTCTCCCAGAGCTGCAGCGTTTCGAGATTCGGAAGCTCGCCGACGAAATGAGGAACAGAGCCGCAAAGCTTGTTGTGGAAGAAGTTCATGAGAGTGAGGTTTCTGAGCTGAGAGAAACTCTGCGGGATCTCTCCAGTGAGACCGTTGAAGGAGAGATCCAGTGACATGAGGCTCTCCATGGCAGAGAGTTCGGACGGAATGGTTCCAGTGAGGTTGTTCATTTGCAAGAACAACGTGTCAAGGTTCTTCAAATTGCTCAGGCTCGGGGGAATTTCGCCGCTGAGGTTGCAGCTAGAGAGGTCAAGGAATATTAGAGATTTCATGGAGCCGAACTCCGGCGGGATTCCACCTTCGTAAGCGTTGTTGTAACCGAGTTTGAGATACGTCAGCGTCTTCAACCGAGACAAACTCTTCGGAATCTTCCCCGATAAACTGTTAGTGCTTAAGCTCAAAAACGCCAAGCTCTTAAACTCCGAGTAACTCTCCGGTATGCTGCCGGAAAAGTAATTCCCGTCGAGCTTGAGGTATCGGAGTTTGTCCAGTTTGACGAATTCTTCCGGAAGCGGTCCGGTGAAGTTGTTGTCGTAGGCGTCGAGGACCTCGAGTTCCGTCAGAGGAAGAATGATTTCCCCGGGAAAATTACCAGAGAAGGAGTTGTGAGAGATGTTGAGGAGCTTGAGGGAAGTGAGGACAGTGAGCTCCTTGGGAAGCTGGCCGGTGAGATTGTCCTGGGCGATGGTTAGGTTTTGGAGTTTGTCAAATTGTCCAATCTCCGGCGGAAGATGTCCGAAGAGAGGAACAAAGGAGACGTTGATTGCAACTACTCGAAGATCTTGGTCGCATTTGACGCCTGAAAATGAACAGTGAGCGGAAAGCGAGGTGGAAAACTTCCAGTCATGGAGGGCGTCATCCTTGGCTTTGTTTCCCTTCATGGAGTCCTTCAGCTTCAGCAGCGCATCCATGTCACTGAACGACGAACACGTGGCCACGCGGAACCATATGAAGGAAACAAGAATCAATAGCCTGTAACACACACTCCTTCTCATCTCTCTCTTGCTTCCCACTGCTCCCTCTCTCGTATACCTTTGCCAAATGCATGCATACATTTGGCTGCGTTCTTCTTTTGACACCACACACCACATTCTGTCTCTATTTATATACACTGCTCTACCATACTATACTAAATATGTGTAGATATTATATAAAGTAGCATATGTGCATGTACAACACTGTACCGTGGTCTCATGCAATACTAATTCTGTTAAGTGGATACCGTGAAGAATAAATAAATAAATAAATAATATGCATAACCAGTAGCCACACGAGATCCACTATAGGTTTGTGAAACATGAAGTATAATTATATTTCAAGAAAATTGTATACCTAATGCAGATTAATTATATCGATTTTAGTGGTGGGAGAGGTCCTACACATGCAATTATTCAGTAACTATCTAATGTGTACATGTAAAGTTAATTATTCTTGTTATATTTTATAATACGCAAAATATGTTTTCGTAGAAAACTGGGTCATGCTCTCTACTGAGTAGTTTGAAGATGACCGAGCTTCTACGATTGGTTAATCAAAATTTGGTGGCCTATAATGAAATATGCTTGGCTCGCCACTCGCCACTCGCGGCTGAGTCCGCTCGAAGGTGCACTTAGCTTTTGCGAAGACAAAGATGCAATCTTTTCCTCACCATTTATGGAGGTTTAAACTTTTCTAACTTTGGAATGAAATGAAAGTGATATTACGTGAATCACCAAATTAAAAAGGGAATAAAAGAAAGTTTCTTTATGTAGAAGTCTTCTTAGCTACTGTTCTTCGGTATATCACTGGGATAATTATTGCCCAGGGAAAAGCAAAGCATCAATTCTCTGTTTTAAGTTGTTCTGTCAACGATCAAGCACTAGATATTGCGGAATCGTATTCTACGTATGGCAATTAAATAGTATTATGCATCAATAAAATTTTAAAGCAAATTATTCATCAGAGAGTGGTTCTGTTCCAAACATTAAGTATAAAGCAAATTACCGTTTTGGAGTTTTGAGAAGAGAATGAAGACAGATATAGGTGTTATAAGTAGCTAGAGACAAGATTTTTCTTTTTATTTCTTTTGTTTTGATGTTTGTTTTTACCGAGGGCTTGAAAAAGGTGTTGGAAGGTGAAGATTGTGAGAGAACGTGGGTTGAAGAATTATTTGATAGTTTTGGGAATTGGGAGGCAGTGGTAAATGGATGAGTGGTAGATGGTTCTCAAAAGTGTTGGATATTGTGGTTTGTCAACCCCTGTGATGATAGTGACAGTGAGTTAGTGTTGGTGAAGTGGCCATAAAAATGTTGTATCATTGGCCCTTTTCTTTACTTCGTGTTTTACATGGCAGACAGTTTTTATTCCTAAAGCCTACTTCTATATTTCATTATTTAACAAATGGTAGATGGACATGGGACTATACTTATATTCTGATTAAGCTAATAACAAGTTGAATCTAACACATAATCTACTAAAGATACACTTTCCATAGTTTTTTTTAGATCACCTATATCTTTCATCAGAAGTTTTTTTTTTTTTTTTGTTAAGAACATTACTGTTTGGTAATAAACCACTTCTCTGGAGTATTTTAATATTTATGTTTAGAATAGGTTGTTTTCCTTTATGAATAGGAACCAGACTCTCATTTTAACTTTGAGATAATTTTATTTTAGTTAATTAAACCAGGTTTTTCATCATACATATTCAGGATTTTCATCAAACCTCAAACCTCTGTTCAATTAATACATTTCAGGAGGATTTTCCACCTTAATTCCTCGTACGTAGAAAGAGGAATTTTTAGTAACAAATTATACTTGACTATAATAACAACTTAAAATGGATCGGCATATAAGAATGTTTAAAGAACAGGTCAAATGAGATTAAAAAAATTATAATCTAAATTGAATGGGTATAATAAATTTAAATCATTTAGAATATAGGTTTATGGTCGATATACTTTATAAAATAATAATAATTTTTTAAATAAAAATAAAAATAAAATATTATTATTTTATTAAAAAATATTTATTATAAATTAATTTAATAAGAAATTATTTATTTTAAGAATAAATATCAATTATTTATTTTATTAATTATTATTAATAAATTATTAAAATAATAATAATGATAATAAATAATAGGTTTTAACTTTTATTTTAATATTGATTGGATTAATTTTCTTATAATTTATATATTAAATTATTATATTTTAAATAAAAATTAATTTTATTATTATAATTTAAAAATATTTTTTATTTTTTTATTTAAATTTTCTTAATTAAGTATTGTGGTATAGATAAGTTAATAATTTTTTTTATTTTCAATCAAATTAATCTATTAGAGAATTCATCTTAATATATATTATTTTAAAATATAAATTAAATTAGACCATCAATTTTTTTATTTCACCAATATCTCACAATCTATTTTCATCATTTTATTATATTTTTTACGTTTCAATCTCAAATCATAACTATTGAGACTCAAATCTTATTATTTTTTATTCGTAATTTTTGTCTTTACTTTTTTATTATCTATAATTATAAATTTTTAAGAGTTAAATATTTTTTTATCGTAGTAATTTTGATAAAAATTAATTTCAGTATTTATATTTTAAAATTAATAAATTATTCCTTAAACTTTTAGAAAATATATAAATTTAATTATTTTGATATCAGTAAAAAAATCTAAATATTAAATTTAGATATAAAAAATTATTAAAATAATATTTAGTTTTTTTATCGATTCTATTTAGGTAAAAAAAATTATAGCTAACTATTATACTTAGGTATACAAATTAAAAATATATTTATTTTAAATTTTAAATAATCAAATTAATTAATTTTAAAATATAAGAATAAATGAAAAAAATAAGTAAAAATAAAAACATATTTTTCTCCTTCATAAAAATATAAAGACTAAGATTATAATTATGCCTTCAGTTAAATCTTATATGTTTTATATAATTCTCCGTATAGAACGTGTAAAATCGTCCACATCCAATAAACATAATAAATTTATCATATAATTATTTAATAAATTTAATCTATGAACTTAATTACGAAACTTAATAAAATATAATATTTTAATGATTTATTTATAAATTCCGATTAAAATAGATTTTAAAATAAATAAAAAGATTATAATCTTTATTTTTTATGTCAATTCATTCAGACACTTTTAATAAATTTTCACCTTCCACTATATTTTTGTTTTGTTGTATATATGCTGACATGATGGAAACACCTCTATATGGCGTAAACACTCTCTGATTAGACTAATTAACATGCATCATTCATATTGTAAACATTGAAAAACCCTATTACAACTATTTGCTTGCACTGCATATGTGTGAAATGTTCTATCACACATGATATGATATGAAGGTCAAAGGAATGTCTTAGTGACTATTTCTCCAAAAATATTTTTATTCTTTTTAAGTAAAAATTTAGATTTGAGGTTTAATAATTATTTAGTCACTTAAGTTAGCCCTTAAAATTCATTGTCATACTCAAATATATACATTTGACTATTTTTTTTTCCAGTAATTTTTAGAGAACTATAATTAGAAGTTTAACTTTTTATGTAAAAACCAATTTAAAGGTTCACTTTGATTTATTTATTTTTCCTTTGCACATTGTAGTTATAATTATAAGCTATTTTCTGATTTTAATAAAGTATAATCTTTTGGACGCAAGCCAAAAAATTATTCTGTATGTTACTTACAAAGTTAGTCAATTTCATTATATTCTATTAATCACATTTTAAAAATATTCTACCTAAAGTGTCTTTTATAAATTTAATAAAACTTCCAATTAATTTAAAATACTACGTTAAAATTTATTTATATTTTGAATCCCTTTTTTCTTCTAAATAAACGTGGAGGGAGTACATTAAAAATTCAGGATATTTTGAAAGTTTAAATTTATATTCGCTATTTATAAATAAATAATGAGAAAGATTAAACGAATTGAAGCTAATAAATATATATTTTAAAAGATAAAAAAATATATCTCAAAATTAATACTATTAATTAAGTCAATAAATTTTCTCCATCCTAATGAATTAATAGCTTGTTTGAATTTTGGTTCTTATACATTTTATAAATTTTGATTATTTTTTTTACTTTATCTATTATTTTAGTCCATTAATTTACAATTATTTGTAAAATTGATCTGAATGTTTTTTACACTATTTAAATTGTGTATAGTTTAAATTATTTATAATTTTTAATATTTGAAAGAGTGAAAAGAATATAAATAGAAATAAATTTGTAGGATAAATAATCATATTATTACAAATAGTTTTGTCATGAGATTTCTAATTATATAGATATAGATAATATATAAGAATACATAATAGATTTACAAATGTTAATACGGTAGTGGGGGCAGTGGCTGCAGCCACAGTGTTTAAGGTGGATCCGTGGTTGAAAGAGAGGTTGGGGTTTCCCGCAAAAGCCGTTTCGTTGAACACAAAAAACTGGCCCCCCGTAGGAACCTTGCCGTTGAAATTGTTGTAGGAGAGATCCAGCGTGGTGAGGCTACTCATGAACCGAATCTCGTCAGGGATTGGTCCTGTTATGAGGTTTCTGGAAACATTCAAAATGTTCAAGTCCGTTAGGTTTTTTATGCCGCTGGGAATCTCCCCGGCGAGCATGTTCCGGCTGAGGTCAACGGCGGAGAGTGAAACGCAGTGAATCAACGTCGTTGGGATTGGTCCGGTAAGCTTGTTGCCGCTTATGTTGACGGTGGTTAGCATTGGTAAGTCAAAAACCTCCCCCGGGATTTCTCCGACAAACTTGTTCGCGTCGAGTGAGAGTCTCTGCAGTGCCCTCAAGTTCTTCAATGCAGGCGAAATTCTCCCCCTGAATGAGTTGTTGGAAAGTGTGAGAATCCCGAGAGAATCGCCGGAAATCTCGGAAGGCAGTTCGCCTTTTAAACGGTTGTTCGCGAGCTCGATTATGGTGAGGGAAGGTAGTTTGAAAATCCCCGACGGAATGGTGCCGTTAAGGAAGTTATTGGAGGCTCGGATCTTGACGAGAGACTTGCAGTTTCCAATATTGTCAGGGATTGGACCGTAGAAGAAGTTATCGGTGATGACGAAGGTTTTTAAGCTCTCACTCTTGCACAAACCAGGAGGGATCAACCCGGTGAAGTGATTGCTCGTTACGTCGAAGTACTTTAACCTCCCGTTTTGGCCCAAGTTCTCAGGCAGCACGAAGGAGAAGTTGTTCTCCCAGAGCTGCAGCGTTTCGAGATTCGGAAGCTCGCCGACGAAATGAGGAACAGAGCCGCAAAGCTTGTTGTGGAAGAAGTTCATGAGAGTGAGGTTTCTGAGCTGAGAGAGACTCTCCGGTATCTCCCCCGTTAGGCCGTTGAAGGAGAGATCTAGAATCATGAGACTCCTCATAGCTGAGAGTTCCGACGGAATGGTTCCGGTGAGGCTGTTCATTTGCAATAACAATGTACCAAGGTTCTCCAAATTGCTCAGACTCGGTGGAATCTCGCCACTGAGGTTGCAGCTGGAAAGGTCGAGGTATTTCAAAGAATTCAAGGAGCCAAACTCCGGCGGGATTCCGCCTTCGTAAGCGTTGTTGTAACCGAGTTTGAGATACGTCAGCGTCTTCAACTGAGACAAACTCTTCGGAATCTTCCCCGATAAACTGTTAGTGCTTAAGCTCAAAAACGCCAAGCTCTTAAACTCCGAGTAACTCTCCGGTATGCTGCCGGAAAAGTAATTCCCGTCGAGCTTGAGGTATCGGAGTTTGTCCAGTTTGACGAATTCTTCCGGAAGTGGTCCGGTGAAGTTGTTGTCGTAGGCGTCGAGGACCTCGAGTTCCGTCAGAGGAAGAATGATTTCCCCGGGAAAATTACCAGAGAAGGAGTTGTGAGAGATGTCGAGGAGCTTGAGGGAAGTGAGGACAGTGAGCTCCTTGGGAAGCTGACCGGTGAGATTGTCCTGGGCGATGGTTAGGTTTTGGAGTTTGTCAAATTGTCCAATCTCCGGCGGAAGATGTCCGAAGAGAGGAACAAAGGAGACGTTGATTGCAACTACTCGAAGATCTTGGTCGCATTTGACGCCTGAAAATGAACAGTGAGCGGAAAGCGAGGTGGAAAACTTCCAGTCACGGAGGGCGTCATCCTCGGCTTTGTTTCCCTTCATGGAGTCCTTCAGCTTCAGCAGCGCATCCATGTCACTGAACGACGAACACGTGGCCACGCGGAACCATATGAAGGAAACAAGAATCAATAGCCTGTAACACACACTCCTTCTCATCTCTCTCTTGCTTCCCACTACTCCCTCTCCCATTATTTTGGCACCACACTCCTCACACTGTCTCTGGTTATATATGCATGCAATAATGGGAATTCTGTTTGTAGGATGATAAAAGTTGTTCACCGTTCATACTCTGAGAATAGAAGAAGAAAAAGTTAATGTGGCTAGCACGAGAACCATTTTAAGTTTGTGAAACAACAAATACAATGCTTAAAAACCAATTTGTAATTAATTGGATTGATTTTATTCGGAGGATAATTTTATGCAACGGGGATTGTCAATTTTTTGTAACTAAATGCGCATAAAGTTAATTATTCTTGATATATATTTTAATATGACTGAAGTATTCTTACATTTTTAATAAAATGTGTATCGGGTGGCCATGCACTTTGCCAGTTGACTCGTCCACTAGCTGTTGAACCCGTTTGAAAGGGCATTTAAAGATGCACTCTTTTCCTGACAACATATATTGAGGTTTAAGCTTTTCATTTGGAATGAAACAAAAATCGTTTAGGTGACTCAGCAAATTATATAAAGGGAATAAAATAAATTTGCTTACTGTGCTTTGGTATATCACTGGGATAATTATTGTCATAGAAAAGCCAACGCATCGATTCTCTTAAGTTGTTCTGTCAATTATCAAACACTCATATTGCAGAATCGTATGCTATGTGTGACATTAAAAGGTTATTAATAAAAAATCTAAGTAAATTATTCACTTAAAGTAGTTCCGTCTCAAACATTTCCACTTAAGACTTAAATCACAGTTAACGTATTTTGAAAGGATAATGAACACATCCCAAGGTTTCGCTCTTTTTCCTATCCGAATATATTTGAGCTGGTTAAATAATGGAGAAATTATTAATAATAAAGTACGAAAAAAATAATATAAGAAAAATTCTCAACGTACGAGTTACTCGTATAGAATACTCTCAATCCAAATATTTTAAAAGATTAAGTTACAAGTGTTTCTTATTTAATTTTTTTCATTTATACTTAATACGAGACTTTTCAATTTTCAACAAATTATTAATAATTAATTCTGAATTACCTTCTAAAGAGGAAAAATCGCATAATCTAAGAATGTCATCTGTAACTAAGATTCGTACCACAAATTCATAATCTAAACTTAACTTGGAACAAGTCTAATGTAAATAATATTAAATTATCATAATCTAAACTCGTCAAGATTAACTTGGAACAAACCAATGTAAATAATATTAAATTATCATACTCCAAATCCATAAAAATTAACTCGGAACGAATTAAGTCAAAGATACAAGAGAAGTTATTCTGTTAAATCGGTATTAGCTAAATTTCCTTCTCTTTTTTCTATAACAGGTACACATAGAAGGTATCAAGTGGGTTGCATGAAAATTATACCAATACAATGTAAAGAATTTTTGCGGGTAGGGAAATTGGTAAAAGAAAGTAAGGACTATTTTTTCTTTTACTATTTATTTTCTTTTGACGTTTGCTTTCTTCTTTAATTTCGTGCTTTCTACGAGGTCCAGATTCTCACACAATGATGCTTCAAAAATGGGTTGAAGCCCGTGCGTTGAACAATTCCTTGTGTTCCTGGAATTAGAGGCAGATAAGAGAGGGTGATTAGTTCATAATCACTTATTAATAACTAAAAATATTAATATTTTAATAAATAATATAATTATATTAATATGTTTAGTTGTTGGGTGATTGCATTTTAGAAAATGATTGTCGAGAAAACATTTGATCTATGCATAAAAAGATGAGTGGTAAACGCTGCTCAAAAGTGTTCAATTTTGTCGTTGTCTGTGATGATAGTAACAGCGACTTAGTCCCCGCCAATTGTTCATGAAAATCTTCTATCATTGCCTCTTTTCTTTACTGCGTCTTTTTACATGGCAGCGAGTTTTCATTCTCCTTAATCACGGATCTGAAACTCGACTACACCCCACATAATTTCTTATTATTGGAACAAATTTATAGTTTTAACTCGTAATTTTTTTTATGGAATAAGGTAAGGCAAAATAACCTAATTATGATAAGGTCCTTTGTCTATCTATTTTTTTATATTAAAAATAAAACAAGATAAAATATGTTAAAAATTTTAAGTCAGTTAAGTTTTATGGAGACTAAAAATAAGAAAATTTGATTAACTTATAAGTGAGAAAAAAATCATAATCTAATATTTTAAGATTTTTTGTTAAAGGTGATGTTATATTTTTTTATATGGTTAATTCATATCTAGTTTGTGAGAATCTGTCGATAACCCCTTTCTTTGACTTATGTTTTATTTATGAGTTAGGTATAAGTGTTTTTCTTCTAGTATTTGAGGCTCTTTATTTTTGAGGGCATATATAATACATGGGCTACGGGGAAGGAGATGTAATAAACCAATTTGACCCTCAATTCAAATATTCTATTTGGATATTTATTAAAATCATCTTTAGAGATGAGGGGTGGATTTTTAATGTGGATAATTTGGAAGATATAATTGGAGAGCATGTATGATTGGGTTCCATTTATATACTTGGTAGAATTTGATATATCTTGACCAAATCTTTTATGTAGGTTCCTCGTGAAGAAACTTACTTATTTTATAGTCTAGGTGTTTTATCTATTTTGTTATTTTATTATTTGTTTTTGTCTGTTCTCTTAAAAGATTCAACAAATATTTTGTAAGTATCTCTTTGTTGTTAATTCTCTCTAAAAAGTCAAACAAAATAAGATAGATTGACCTGATTTATCATTTTTATCCTTAATTTTAATTAAATTTTACATTTTATTTATTCACTATAATTAAATTTTACATTTTATTTATTCACTACAATTATGTTTTGATTATGCTAGGAGCAACTGAATCAATTTGTTTTTTAATGGGTGAAGTAATAAATAAGGGAATCTGAAAACGAACAATGAATCAATTTATATAACATCATTTTTAATCAACAAATATTAAAATAATATATTTATAATTTTTTCTTCTTATATATCACTTATTTTTATACAATATAAAACTTCAAATTAACATTTGAATACCAACATTTATAATAACGATTAATCCAACATAATGAGAGTATAACGAATTATCCGGTGTGGTGCTCTACGAATTAGTTTTGACGTTTGAAACTCTGCGGAGTATAGTTCTATAAATTGGACACATGTTTTACATTTCAGTCATGGAGTATATTCTCCTCTTCAACGTATAACACCAGAATGTATTAAAAGCAAAAGTTTGGAAATCAAAAGTTAGTGAGCAAACAAACGCAATGGTCAGAAATCTAAACATGTTTTGTTATACTTTTTTACATGTTTCGCTCATTATTTTTTTTTTTTTCAGTTGACATTAGAGGTCGTTAAGTATATGTTTTTATTTTTTATTTTATTTTACAAGTATTGTCTTTTTTACCTATAATTCATTTTAGAATTGAAGAGGAATAACACAATGTTTCCCTAAGGTAGAATGATATTTTTAGATATATATTTAAAGCATGTTTAAATATTCTGATTTTAAATTTGAATCCGCGAGTCATTTTGGTTAATATTAACATGTATTTAAAGGATAGTTGGGATTAGGCATATGCATAGAGATTGAGTCTGGTTGGGCTTGAGTCTAACTGCATGAGTAAAATGGGTCAAGATAAACTCATTTGGGGGAGATGGACTTCATTGATATCTAATGAATCCGATGCGTAGATAATACGAGAAATAAGATATTATTGGGACTGATAGATGCGCCAAAAGAAAAATCCTAAAGAGAAATTTGATTATAAAGGGGAGGGAAAAGACCTAAAAACCATATCCCTTGATCCAAAACATTAGTACCCACCGTGGGGCAGGTAAAATTTTTCCTACTCCACATTCAAAACAATCATAGTGACTTGTACCAACAATCGAAACAATCAAGATCCTAATCGGGTTGACCCAAACAATGCAGCGATACAACTAATCCTTGATCAAATGGAGGAGTTGCGGCGACAAACTGAAGAAGCCCAGCGCATGACGACAGACTGAGTTGTACTCTTTTCCTTGAAAGTTTATTAATCTTATAGTCAGATGTTTTTTCTTTCAAGGTTTTTAATGGGGCAACAATATCAATAAAATGTTCTCTTTAGACAATTCTTTTCTCTTTTGTTATTTAAAAGTATTGTTTTTTATTTGTTCCAATAGGAACTATGCTCGGAATGTGAGCTATGTACAGAATGCGTATTAGGGTCGGAATGCGACCTATGTGCAAAATGTGTACTATGGTCGGAATGCGACCTATACTCGAAATGCGAGTTATGTACATAATGTGTACTAGGGTCGGAATGCGACCTATGCTCAGAATGCGAGCTATGTGCGAAATGCGCACTAAGGTTGGAATGCAACCTATGCTCGGAATGCAAGCTATGTGCGAAATGCGCACTATAGTTGGAATGCGCACTATGGTCGGAATGCGACATATGCTCGGAATGCGAGCTATGTGCGGAATACGCACTATTGTCGAAATACGAGCTATGTGTGGAAATGTGCACTATGCTCGGAATGCGAGCTATGTGCGGAATGTGAGCTATGTGCGGAATACGCGCTATGTGCGGAACACGCACTATGTGCGGAATGCGCACTATGGTCGGAATGCGCACTATGAACGGAATGCGCACTATGGTCGAAATTCGAGCTATGTGCGGAATGCGCACTATGGTCGGAATACGCACTATGGTTGGAATACGAACTATGTGCGGAATACACACTACATAGTGCGGAATGCAAGCTAAGATCAAAACACGATCTAAATTGGAGTACGAGTAGAAGCAGGTTAATCTTCATTTAAATTCAAGTTATGCTCGGAATGCGAGCTATGTGCGAAATGCACACTAAGGTCGGAATGCGAGCTATGTGCGAAATGCACACTAAGGTCGGAATGCGACCTATGCTCGGAATGCAAGCTATGTGCGAAATGCGCACTATGGTCGGAATACGACTTATGCTTGGAATGCGAGCTATGTGCGGAATATGCATTATGATCGGAATGCGAGCTATGTGTGGAATACGCACTATGGTCGGAATGC